GCTTCTGCTGGTAATGAAGGCTTTAAGAAGGTGTTTGATAAAAACACAGACCTTTACACAGGGATTTACAGGGCATTTTTTAAGCTGATGATACTTAAGAAAGGCAATTATTTTTTGTTAATTTGTTATTTTATACTCCGAGAGGCTCCGATAGGCTAGCAGTATGGTTTTTTATGCAGTCATAAGAGAGCTTTTTTTAATAGCCTCAAAACATGTAATTGTGTTGGATAATCATATTGTGATTGTAAGGCCCACGATGGCGATAGCTGAATACCCAGTCCAGCACAGCCTTGCTGAGCACAATGCTGAAATAACAATATGTTAAATGAATATTTCACATAGTAAAGTGTGCTACAATCATTAATGTCATTAACAATTCCATATTTTATTCCTGGAAGACTTTCTGTAGCTGTTATCAAAAGGCAGCCACCATGGAATTTGACTGAAGGTTTTCTCAAGTCACAAACGTCACACAAAAATACACTCTTGTCTCACGCATATACACACATAACGCAGCATGTTCACTACCTAAGAATACCAGATACTGGCATGTTAGGTGAAGACATGCCTCTCAAACGTTTTTTTCTCCCCACTTGCTCATAAATGCCGTAAATACTCCAAGTTTAGCCCCTACAGAGGAGCTCACTATGCACAGGACATCGCATCTCTGTCCTGGTGACTCCCTCCATGTCTCCGGGGCTGCTGGTGACAGCAGAAGGCAGCACGGGTGGGACTATGCAGGCTCAAGCTTGAGAGAAGGATAAAGTGGACTGATCTTTAAAAGACCTTTTACAACAGGTTTCACAAACTTGCTGGATGAATTTTCCAGCAAGTTCCGCTTACTGGGTCTGTTTCCTACTCTTGCATCTCTCCTCTGTGCAGCTCCAGGAGGGAGCACACATCTCGGGGTGCCAGGCAGATGCCTCCAGGCCCCCCGTTCCTATAATATCCATTTTTCAGCCTGGGACTGACTGAGTGAGGAAACACCTGGGCCCAGGAAGAGCCTTTTCCAAACTCATGTCTAGTTTGTAGTAATAAATACTGATAGCTGGGATCAAGGCTACTGAGGGGCATTTCAGACAACTTAGTATCTGCCTTCTCCATCAGTTTAGGATGCTCCTTTTATCCCCTGGCATTTCCCCTACCCATTACCTTTCCCTCAGTATACAGACCTTAAGCAGCAGCAGTTGCTAAGGCTACAAGAGGCTGCAGTAAATCTGTGTGCGTGTACGGGGAGGGCTGGATAAAGGAAAAGGATGAGAGCAGAAAATTGCTTGTTTTGAGTCACTGGAGAGGCAGCCATGGAGAGAGGTGGGAGTGGATGCAGGGCTAGACAAGATGCAAGTCTACAACTGTTTTCACATGAGCACTTCAGCCTGTCTTTTAACCCCAGCGTGTATACATGGGCAGGTGTTGGCACCTGTGTGCCTATTTGCTCAGGAAACCAACACTGTCAGCAGAAAAAAATAACGGATTTTTTTTTTTTTTTTTCTGATAGAAGCAGTGAATGAGCAATTGGGATTTGTCAATGGCATAAATGATTATTAAAACCTTAACAACCGAAACACTAATTTTCGAATAATTCTTGCATTTCTGTGGCACTGGTTGAGGAAAAACAAATCACAGACTTGATTTCACTTCCAGAAGATTTCGGAAAGCCCACATCTTTTCTGCAAAATACCAAAGAGTCTGTTGTCTCTGAAATACGCCTGTGTGCAGTGAAGCACATCGTTTTCTCTAGCCCCATATGTTTTTTTGGCTCT